AGAGAACTGGCTTATTTTCACTCCCATTTGGGAAGCAGATGGCAGCGCTGTACTGCGTGCTGGCTAGCAGTGCAAACTCAGCTACATCAACTATCAAAATAATAAAACAAAGCAAAATATCATTGGGCATCAAAATTACGATGACTGCTTCTTCACGGTCTTTAATTTTTAAGCAAGTAAAGGTTTGTGAAATAAATACTCAGAAAATATGTCTACAGGGAATAAATAACAGCATAGTCTCATAAAAACTAAAAACATTTTTCTCTGTGGCCAGGTTCGTAAAGATTATGAAAAATATGACAACTTGATTTTTTTTAATGAAGGGTTTAGGTGGCTCCCCGTGCTTCTGATTCAAGCTGCAGGTTGGGTATGGACTTGGTTTTCATGAATAGCATAGTAATGATAGAAAAATGTGTAGTTATTTCCAAGGGTTCTCGACTGCCTGAGATTATCTTAACAATTTCCTATCTACTCCCATTTTTCCTTTTTGCTTTCTCTTTAATACAAAACCAAGAAACAAGGTAAAAGAAAAGGTGAATCAGTGTTATTCTTTTCATTTATCAAATTATCTATATGCTTCTAGTTATACAGAGATAATTCATAAGATTCATAGAGACATATTTTAATGAAAGAAATAAGAGAAGACATGATTATATTTTACCTTCTCACTACTGGGCTACATTCAGGCCAGATATTTATAAATGAGTGAATTCAAGATCAAAAGAAGATTTCTAGCGTTGGTGCTAAAGGGGACGAAAGCAGACTATATTCATGCATGACTTAATAATGGAGTTATCTTCTGAGAACTGCATTGGTAGGCAATTTCATCACTGTGTGAGTGGCAGAGAGTGTATTTACACAAAGTGTGACAACACTGATTCCACTTACTATAACATTATAGGATCACCATCATATATGCAGTCCATTGTTTAGTTCCCAACCACACTCATGTTGCATATGACTAGAACACGTATTCAGAAAACTGCCTTGGACCTAGCACAGATGAGCAGGTCAGATCAGTCTTCCAACATTTATCCTTACTACTCTTGTTTGTGAAACATTTGGCAAATATTGTGGAAGTCTTCCTCTGAAGAGAGTCTGTACATAAGATGAAATGAAGTATTAGAATTTGACTGTGATCAAGTATTTCAGAATTTGTAGCTTCTTTAGGGCCCTTCCCCCAACATTCTGTCCAACTAAACTTGATCTTTTTTTTAAACATTTCTACAAGATCTTAAATTCTCCCTAGTTCTAACCATTGTCTTCTTGGGTTCTGCATCCAAAAGGTGTGGATTCTTCATTAGAAGTTAGGACAATAGTTAATTCTGAGTAGTTGTCCTGAATGTTAACAGGTCAAGAGAGAAGAGACTGCTTTTCTTAGCTAAGAAAAAAAAAAAAAAAAACATTTAATCTTAACTTTCTGACCAAGTAACCATGATCCTTTCAGTAGCCAAGCAATCTTTCTGTGTCTGAGCTTTTGCAACTACTAATAAATATGATATTTTAAAAGTACATTATAATAATTTATAGATAAGAAGATTCTCTGGCAAGTTAAAAGTACTATTCAACTTGAATTATTATTAATAATGTAAGACTTCTGAAAATTCAGGCAACTGTCTCTGCTTGTCCAGATGGCTGCACCAAGTGAGTTGTATAAATGTGTAGTCACAAATCATCTTTCAGCACTCATAACCAGTGTCCTCCATCTTATAGAACGCCTGAGTGAGTCCCAAGCCCATCCTCTGTCGAAGTAAAATTTCCTCAATTAATAATACGGGTTTGGCTGTCCTGGTTTGTCTGCAGTTCCTTCTCTCCACTGTTGCGCAGTTACTCCCATGTTAGAATGGCTGGCAGTTTGAAAGATGCTGAGTATTAGAGAGAGCAAGCAATAGCAGAGAGCAGTCCTCCACTTGTCATCTTGGATGCCCTTGGATAAAGGGAGAAACTGAATTATCCTGCGCTTCTCTCCCACTCTCTCTGATATCACACTGAGTCATGGAAATCCATAGTTCAGGGTGAGGTTGGAAAAGACAATCAACTCCATTTCTGGGTAAGAAAGGAGTACAGTGCTCAGTGTGTTGCGTGTAGGCCTTGTGCTTTCGAGATTCCTGGCCTCTTGTCTTCTTAGAAGGACTCCAACAAGAAGATCACTACCATTTTTGGAATAAACATGATGAATGTCTGGCATAGAGCATTTCATCATTTTTAAAATGCATTGGCAAATATGAACTGCACACAGAGTACCTACTTTACCCATCATTGAGGAAGGCATATATAAGAGATATGTGACATAGTGTTATACCAGTGGTTGGTGTTTATGCCAGAGGACAAAATTTGAATAAATAAAATATTTGAGTATTCAAATGAAAGGGTTTAAGTGTTAGAATAAGTAATTTAAATAGAGGTCTGTAAGAATTTAAAGAAGCTATCAATCAGTGAAGAAATTTCTTAGTGTTAGGTTTGTACCTTGATGTTCTCTAAAATCTCATGTGATGATAGGCAGGACCTTTGGAAGGTGATGTTATAGGAGCTTATAGTTAATGCACTGTTAGGGAGTGAGGCCTGTTTAGAATAGATGGGTCACTTTGAGTGCAATCCAGAAAGCTGTATCTCCATTCCCAGCTCATCCCTTTCCTCTTTGCTTTCCTGCCTGCTGCCTTGAGGAGCTCTTCTTTTCCATGCCAGTCTTTCATGCCTTCCTGCCCAGTTCAATTATAGGCTTAATAATAATAGTTGTAATCTTCTACTTTAAGTTGAGAGTATCTAGTATTTTGTTCCAGTAAGGAAAAAAGTGACTAAGACACTTAGGAAGCAGAATTTGAGGTGTAATTGTAAAGATGGATGGCATACAGGAAGGTAAAAGGAAGCTGACATTCCAGTAAGTAGCGACAGCCAGATTAGATGTCTAGAAATGGAAATGGGCATTGGAGACCATGGGGATGCTTGGAAAGTGGCTGGTAAAGAAGTAGGATTACAACACACAACATATTATATTATAACCTACAGAAATAACCATAAAAATCTTCCAAAAGTATACATATTTTTTTCATCATTTGAAGTAGCCAAAATTGTAAGCCATTTTAATTCCACTGGAAAAGGAATAGTTAAATCCTATACATAGCATGGACACCATGAAGTACTAAGAAATGGTTGAAAAGAATGAAGCAAATCTTTCTCTGCTGACATAGAAAGACCACCATGGAAAGAAATGACAGTGTATTAATGGAGAGAATGCATTTATGTAATATCTTTTAACTTTGAAAATTGATTTTAAAAAAATCAAAGTGGTGTTTCAGAAAGATTAATGTGATGACATTGTATTGAATTAAAAGAGAATGATCCGGGGATGTGTGTATGAGTACAGATGTCCAAGGCCAGGCGTGGGCACTTGAATGGTGAGGAGGAAGAACCTGGAGACATTTGTCCTGAAGAAGGATCATAAATGACTCCTTGACAGACTCATAAAGTAGGGACAAAAGAGAGGGAAGGAAAAGATATTTCCTGGTATAAACTTAGAAAATAGACCCTCAAAAGTGGTTTCCACTAACTAGACTGGACACATGGTAAAGGGAATCCTTCTTTAAGAAATTCTTTATAATTTTGATTCTCAGGATGGAAGAAACGGTGCGAAATCTATTGCAGAGTCAAGGGCCTCCAGAGCAGAACAAAGAAGAAACTGTTGCTATGCTGGTCTATCAGGTATGCCATGTTTGTTTCTCTAGGCTGGGTACCTTGTTTTCTTTTGTGAGAACCACCCAGTCAGCTCTGGTTTGAGAAATCATATACATGTTTGCTTAAGGTATTTGTTTCTTGTGCTCTTGATTTTAAGTGGATCATAGATTTGTTTGTAGTAAAATGGAAAAAATGTGGTGAAACAGAGACCTAGAAGAATATTATTGCAGAATCTGATGATTAGGGCCATGAGAGAAGCACTGACAGCATTCTCTAGGAACAGCAGAAGGGGAGTGACTCATCCTGTGTGAGGAGTTGAGTTCTTGCCAGACGTGGAACATTTAAAGTGGGACTGAAGAGTACAGAACAAGTAATGTGTTCCAGGTAGAGGGGGTGCAGGATAAAACTACAGTGGTACAAATCTTCATAGCAGGCTCTTGGGCATAAGAAGCTGGGGGTAACAGAGTAAGGGCCTGCTGTGATGCAAAGCTTGGTGACAAGAACAAGGTTACATGAAAGAGCTGGATGGTTACCTATTTGGGCTGATAACCAATGCTCTTGTATCTAATGATGTGGAGTTAAAGGGGTCTGAATAGTTATAGGATAAGGAAGTGAGAAATCATCCTGTTCTCTTAATAGCCCTTAACTCATGGTCTTTTTGTCCCTAGCAAGGCGGCTAGGCTAGAAAGCAGGATATGTAGTCTAAATATGGCCCTAGTTGGCCACCCAGATGAGAAGGCTCTGGTAGATCTGGAAAACAAAATATAACAGAAATGCACAGAAATATTATTTAGATATATTTAGGGCTCTTTTTTTTAAAAAAAATAACAAACAGACCCAGCATTTACTGTACAACTTTATATATTAAACTAAGAAAGTAAGAAAATAGTAACAAATCTAAGCCAATCATTGGATAGCTATAGGTTTTTACTGGTTAACACATTTTCACTAGCTTGAAATACCAAAAATATGTGTATAACTGTCCCATCAGGTGGCTTGTACCACTAATGGTAGAAGTGGTACATTCATGGGATGGCATAGTCATACATATACCAACGGTGAGACTGAAAATGGTGGCTCCATCCTGAACATGTTAAGAAGCAAAATGGAGCAGGAATTGGTGACACATTCCTGCAATCACAGCATTCTAGGAAGCTGAGGTAGGAAGGATCACAAATTCAATCCCAGTCTGGGCAACTCAGTGAGACTGTATCTCAATAAAAAAAAAGAAAGAAAGAAAAAGTCTGGGATGTAGCTCAGTGCAAAGGCCAGGCCAGGGTTCAATTCCCTGCACTAGGAGGGAGGGAGGGAGAGAGAGAGGGAGAGGGAGAGGGAGAGGGAGAGGGAGAGATTGATTGAGGAGAAAAGCACAGGAAATGAGCTGTTAAGGATAAATTTTCCATCAGCTAGCCTGAATCCATGAGTTCAGGGTGATGAAACTTGATGTACTAAGAAGAGGACTGGGGAGAACCTGATAATGAAAGTCAGAGTATTATACAAGCCTGTGATATTCCAGCCCAGTTAGGTGTTGGAAGGTGTGTGCACCATAGGTGGCTCTTGCAAAGTGCATGGAGTTGCTGCACGAGGGCGAGGACCACTGCTCTGCAACTCTGGTGAAAACAGATCACAAGAAGTTGACTTAAACTAACCTAGAGGAGAATAGCAAGGGACAAAAGAAAGATCCCTAAAATCCATTTTCTAAGGCAACAGTTTACTTTATTCCTTGAAGTGGTGGCTTTAGAAAGTGGAGGCTTTAACACCACAAAAATATGTTTTAAACAGTTCTCTCTCTAAAAATGCATCTATTTGTTTTGGAAAACTAGGTCTTCCCTCTAGAGAGGGAAGATTGTTATTAACTTTGAATTAATGCTATGCCAAAGGATATTTATTGTTCTAATTGGCCTTAGGCTCCTCTCAAATGGGAGAGGGGCATGGGTCACATGACTGATAAAGTTCATTTATACATTCTACAAATAATTATTGCACTTCTAGAAAGTAAAACTCAAAATCTTATACTCTGGCAATTCAAGAAGTAAGAACAAAGCAAAGATAAAGTCCAGTGGGAACACTGAGTCCCAAGGAAGTTCTTTCCACCTCATAATTTTTAATATTCTAAATATGGTTCTGTATTAGTCAACTTTTCAATTGCTTTCCTATTGGATGCAGTATCCAATGCCACAGTTTAAAAGAGGAGAGGCTTAATGTGGCTTAAGGCTTCATGGGATCTAGTCCATGGCCTACTGGCTTCAAGGCAACTGTGTCATGATGGAACGGTATGATGGAGCCAAGCTACTAGCATCGTGGTAGCTGGGAAGAAGAGCAGGACACAGCGCTGAACAGGAGTGGATAGGACCATCTGTAATCCCAAAAAGTATACCTCCATGACTCAGTCAGACATACTTGTGAGTGTCATTTACTAATCCTCTATGCAGTTTCCAAGCCAATTAAATTGACATGATTATCCTTAACCACTATGGTCTCATGGTAGCCAAATACATTATGTAAGATTTACATGGAACTACTATTACATTTCATAAGTACTACCTTCCTAGAGCTAAATCATTTATTTTGGACAAAACTAGAGAATTTATTGCTTCATGATATGGGGTGTCAGTAACACATGACTCAGATTTTTCAACTTGTAGAATTTCTATAAAGAGGCCAGAAGGTGATGTAAAGTTTAGGTCCCTAGGAATGCTGAAATTTAATTCATTTTCTATTGTGATCAGAGGTATTTGTTCTGAGGATTTTATATTGAGCTAATAAAATAAGAGTAATCGCTTCTATATTCCAGGCCCATGCTAATTGATTTGTATCCACTAAATGTGGTCCTACTTCATTAAATGAGTGTGTTCCTGAAGATCTTACATGATGTATTACTTGTCTGATTTCTAACTTCCATAATTTATGTGCTTTCCCTCAAAGGATGATGGTGGTTTCTATTCAGCAGCTAGGCCAACCCTACCACATGGTACTAAGTTCTCCACGATTTACTGGCCTTGCCATTATGCAGTCTTCTTTAACTTGGTCAATTTGCAAGACGTCAAATGTGGAAGTGATGTTAGTGACATTTTTATGTCACTAACAAACAATTTCTAGTTTGTCCAGCATAGAGCACCATCAACTATGACTAGACTAGAGCTCATTTAGTGCCCACAGTGACTTTGTGTAAGCAGTATTGTCCCCACCCATCTCACAACTGTGGGCGTAGGCTGAGAGCTATGGCCACTTGCTGGAAAATGCTTAATGGGGAAGTAAGGCAGAGGGGACTTGGACCTTGGGGAATCTGACTCTGCAGCATCAGGTCTTGTGCTGCAGAATTCTGGAGCCATTAAGTGATAGGCTTAAGTGACCTGGCTGGTTATTCCTCAAGTTGTAAACCTAAGCTGGCCTCTCTGCCTTCTGTGGACAGTTCAGCTCATCCATTCATTTCTCCCTTCACGCCTTCACCACTACAATATTCATTTACTTTCTTACCAAAGTGTATTAGTCTCACCTTGCTGCTCTAACAAAGTTCATGACTTAACAAAGCACAAATGTATTCCCTTATTATTCTGGAACTTGCAAGTTTTAAAGTAATGTATTGGCAGGGCCACGATCTTTCCAGAGGTTTCAGGGATAGTTATTTTTGTACTTTTCCCAGAATCTAGCATCCCCTGGTGTGTGACTCTTTCTTCCATCTACAAAGCATAACATTCTGTTAGAGGTTGTTCTACTGTCTTGCTTCCCTCCAACTAGATAGCCCAGGATAATTTCCTAATCCCAAGATCACTGACGTGATCAAAGCTGTGGAGACCCTGTTGCTCTGTAAGGGAACATCTTATTAGGTACAGGGATATGGATGTGAATATCCAGGGGATGGAAGGAGGGTTTATAATGTTCTGCAGAGCAGAAAGGGAAGGCAAATAATTACATCTGTTCAACAAAGTCATAGAAGCCCAGATAGAAGCTTACACAAGTTCCAGGAACACAAGTTGTAGGCAAGGGGTGTAAAAAAAACCTATGGCACTATTTTTTTGCTTTTTATTTTTTTAGACAAAGATGTTAATGTATGAGTTATTTTTCTAACCTAAAACCTCAGTATTCAGGGTTGATTGCAGTGTTGGCACTTTACCATAAATATGTGGGCTTGGTATTGCATTTTGGGCTCTTGGCACTTGCTGCTAAAAAGTTCGCCATCGCTGGTATAGGCCACTGAACTACCACGTTGTTTCAGGAAACCTTCTCATCCGCCTAAGACTTATTTTTAAATGACTCACTTTCTTTTCCATTGTCTCATAAGGTGGACATAAGAGTCATGAGATTCCTCATAAACCCTATGGCCTTTCTTTCTCAGGACATTTTGTGTCCCAGTGTTTTTGGACCAAGTCTGGGTACAGACCTGTGGTGCTTTGTACACTCAAAGACAAATGAGTCTCCTTCCTGTGTCCCAACACCCTCTAAAGTAGATGTTGCCATGCCCAGCCTAAGATGAGGTTCATGGAGGTCTGTTTGAACTCAGGCACATGATATGTGCTAGACCTAAAAACAAGTTACAGATTTTCCTAGATGAGACGTACAATTAATTCAAGTGATTATCTGGGAAGTATTTTGATGGTGTTGGTGAAAGTTGGACATACTCTAAAATCTCAGTTCTCAAAGTACAAAAATGTTAATGAAAGCAAATTGATCTACGATCCTAAGCCATACAGTGTTTGATTTTCATTTCCCCTATAGAAGAGACAAACCTGTGAATAACAGACTCATTGTCATTACCTACAGGGACAATGTCCTACACCTAGAACTGACTTGTTTCCTATGGGAATAAGACAACCCTGAAAAGATCATCTTTAGAAGATCTCAAGTCAGAAGCATCCATTTAGCTTCTGCTCTGTTTAGTTTTCCAGCTCATTTTCCTTGAGTGTTTTGTTTCTTAGTGCCATCTCACACACTCTTGTCACTCAAGCCACCATTTCATTAAGTTGGAAAATTTATGATAGAAAAAAATCAGGATTAGACATAAGAGAATACAACTAGGCATCAGCGAC